GAGGAGGAGGAGGAGGAGGAGGAGGAGGAAATTGGACCAACCTGGACTGATAGGGTTATAACGTTCAAGCGGAAAGACCGAGGTGCTCGATAAAAATTCGCCCCACACAGGAATAGAACTCAGGTCTTGTACATGCGATGGTGAAACGCTACACCACAGATGCCGATATTATGTTGACGAATGAGAGCTTAAAATAATGTATAAACTTACAAAAGTAAAAGTCGTATAGTATGTTGAAATCTATAAATGACTGATATTTTTACCGGGTTTTTTTTATGTTCTCAGAACTCTAGAGTACTCTCAACGCGAAACTCTTACTTCTGTGTTCCCTTTTTTCCCCTAGACAAAGAGTTGACCCCAACGAGGTTTTCACCATTATGTCCATTTCCCACGCAGTACAAAGGCTTTCCAACTATTTCTTTACCTCATTTATTTGTTCTCTCTTCCCTTTGTTTGCGCTGTCTCTCTTGACAACATTTCTCATGTCTTTGTTTTTGTTCTTCCTTACTTTCCTTGCTTTCCATCAACCGTTTTGTTTTTCTCCAACACAAACCAGCGTCTGTGGAGTAGCGGTTAGGTGCCTCACCCCGCACGCTGGAGACCCATGTTCGATTCCTATGTGGGGGAAAAATTTTTTATCGAGGATCTCGCTTTTTTTTCCTGCTGGGATGCTGAATCAGTTTCAGCCTGGATTGACCCGTATATGAATGAAAGATCTAAGTTATGTCTATGGGAACGTAAAAGCAATTCTTTAAAAGATTTAAGATGTCCGCTATCTTATGTTTTCTCCAATACAGAGTCACTAACCCCCCCCACTTTTTCAACAAGAATTTTCATGATTTTCATGTTTTATGTACAGAAAAATTGAATACAGAACATATCAGTAATGTGTTGTGTATTTGGAAAGAAAACAATACACATCAGTCAGAAAAAAACAACAACAAAATATAATCTCTGTAACTTTCAACTGTAGATTTAGATAATCTAGATCTATAGAGTCTATATTATAATAATAGTGGAAAGAAAAATGTTGTTTTTTTTTTAATTTTTTAAGTACATCTGGACCACTGATGCTGGCACATTGCTAAAACCAGGGACACCTGTCAAACATGAAACATCAACAGACATGATAACAACAACTTCTGATGGATTTAAACTTTGAACATGCTCAAGGAACAAAATCCCAAACCATAACCAAGATCTTCTAACAAGGGAAATAACCAACCTGTCACTTAAATGAAACTTATTACGGTGACTACTTCCCTTTAGTCATATGGCGAGGCGTTAATTACTTGTTTTGTGGGAAAAAAAGAGAAGAAAACGTGAACAAAACATGGGGAATCCAAAATTATGCAAATGTTGCCGAATTACGTGAAAAAACGCGGCCGCGCGGCCGCACAATCGCATAATCCAACGGGGACAGTTGAATGTAAAACAGATTTCTGTTGGTTCTAATGGTTTTAAGCGGCGGTGCGGAATTACCCCGGGTGTGGAATTCCCCCACCTTCCCATACTATCATTGTAGGCAACCTGACTAGGGAGTAAATAAGATAGTTCCCCTATTATTGAGAATAAATTAAATTATGGTAATGAGAGGAATGTATCGCTCTCTTATGTACATAATCTCATGATGTCATTAAGGCGGACAAACCTTTCGACAGTGTGGTGTAATTTTTTAAAGAGTTTTAGTAAGAGTTTTGCGGCGTTTACAACACAAACAAGTCATATAACTGCCAAAGATTAAAAGTGTAACAAAATAGTAACGCCCACAAAGAAAATGAGGAGAGGAAATGAAGCCAGACGTTTGATAGGAAAGAAGCAAACCACACCAGAGTTTCCACCAAACACCGACAAGAGTAAGAACTTTCAGAGGCCCAGACCGCGACATGCAAGTGTCTATGGTGTACTAACAATTCAGCTTGGCGTCTTGTACTCAAAATGAACCTGCTCGAGCCCTGATTGGAGAAGGTCTAAAAACAAGAATCTCCGCCTTTCAGTTGGCACGCGTCCAGCACAGACACGATTGGCCTCGGGTGGCTAGGGCGAGGTGTCAAAGCAATGTCAACAAAATACTATAATTATAACAATAGTATTTACAAGAAGCAGAAGCAGAAGAAGAAGAAGAAGAAGAAGAAGAAGAAGAAGAAGAAGAAGAAGAAGAAG